ATAGCCAGGACATGGAAATAACCTAAGTGTACACTGATGAATGAATGGATAAAGAAGTCGTCAGATATCTAAAAATGCATATAGACATATGAATATTATTCAGCCATAAAAAAGGGAAAAAATCCTGTCATTTACAACAACATGGATGGACCTTGAGGGCATTATGCTAAGTGAAATAAGTCAGACACTATATAGTTTCATTTATAAGTGGAATCTAAAAAATTGGAAAAGAAAGAAAACCAGACTCACAGAAAAAGAGATCAGATTAATGGTTACCACAGGTGAAGATGTCATAAAGTACAAACTTCCAGTTATAAGATAAATAAGTACTAGGGATATAATGACATGATGCCATAGTTAACATTGTTGTGCTATATATATATGAAAATTCTTAAGGTATTAAATCCTAAAAGTTCTCATGGTGAAGAAAAAAATTTTATTTTTATTGTATCTAATTTGATGATGGATGCTAACTAAACTTACTGTGGGATACCATTTCACAATATATGTACATCAAATCATTATGCCACACATCTTAAATTTTTATTTAAGTGGTGTATGACAATTTTATCTCAGTAAAACTTAGGGGGAGGCTACAAAAGTAAAATATGGGAGTTTAAGAGAATTGGGAGAAGTCAGGAGGGAAGATATGAATTTGGTCATCACCTGTATTAAAATATTTGAAAATGCTAAAGTGAATGAGTGTCAAATGAATGAAAGAGTGAAAGGGGAGAATGTAAACAGATTTAATATTTTAGATAGTAGGCATTTAAAGCATGTCTACAATTGGTAGATTCATTCTGGTCTTATGGTATTTAATAACCATTTATGACAATTTCAGAACATATGTCTCACCCCACTGAATTTCAGATTCAGATATAAAATTTCCCATTTACTTTCACTTAATATCTACTATAGACTTCTCAATGATAACACTTCTAAAATTACACTCCTGTCACTCTCAAGGGCGTCCCTGGTGGCTCAGACAGTAGAGTCTGCCTGCAATGCGGGAGACCCAGGTTTGATCCCTGGGTTGGGAAGATCCCCTGGAGAAGGAAATGGCAACCCACTCCAGTATTCTTACCTGGAGAATTCCATGGATGGAGGAGCCTGGCGGGCTATAGGGTCGCCATGGGATCGCAAAGAGTTGGACATGACTGAGTGGCTAACACTGTATAAGACACTGGCAATCTCAAATTAACTTTTATAGCCTTCCATATTTCAACAGATGTTAATTCTATTCTTACAATTACTCATATCAAAATCTTGACATCATCCATCTTCCTCTTAATCTTTACATCCAGTCCATAAGCAAATCCTTAACAACTCTTATCTTCAGAAAACTATATAACTAAAATCTCTTTAACTATGTAACTAAACGAAAACTAAAGACTAAATAACTATAAAATTTTAATAACTAAAATCTGTCCTCTTCTCACCATTTCCACTGACTTCAACCTCACCATTATCATTTCTCAGCTGTGTTATTTCAATAGCTTCCTAATAAATCTCCCTGATTTCCCTCACACTTCCATAAGGTCTGTTTCTCCATAAAGTAGCCAAGCAATTCTTTAAGACCTAATTAAACTTAAAAGCTTTTGCACAATGAAGGAAACTATAAGCAAGGTAAAAAGACAGCCTTCAGAATGGGAGAAAATAATAGCAAATGAAGCAACTGACAAAGAATTAATCTCAAAAATATACAAGCAACTCCTGCAGCTCTATTCCAGAAAAGTAAGCGACCCAATTAAAAAATGGGCCAAAGAACTAAACAGACATTTCGCCAAAGAAGATACAGGTGGCTAACCAACACATGAAAAGATGCTCAACATCACTCAATATCAGAGAAATGCAAATCAAAACCACAATGAGGTACCATCTCACACCGGTCAGAATGGTTGCTATCAAAAAGTCTACAAACAATAAATGCTGGAGAGAGCACAGAGAAAAAGGAACCCTCTTACACTGTTGGTGGGAATGCAAACTAGTGCAGCCACTGTGGAGAACAGTGTGGAGATTCCTTAAAAAACTGGAAATAGGACTCCCATATGGCCAAGCAATCCCACTGCTGGGCATACACACGGAAGAAACCAGAATTGAAAGCGACACGTGTACCCCACTGTTCATTGCAGCACTGTTTACAATAACCAGGACATAGAAGCAACCTAGATGTCCATCAGTAGACAAATGGATAAGAAAGTTGTGGTACATATACCCAATGGAATATCACTCAGCTATTAAAAAGAATCATTTGAATCAGTTCTAATGAGGTGGATGAAACTGGAGCCTATTATACAGAGCGAAGTAAGTCAGAAAGAAAAACACCAATACAGTATATTAATGCATATATATGGAATTTAGAAAGATGGTAACAATGACCCTATATGCGAGACAGCAAAAGAGACAGAGATGTAAAGAACAGTCTTTTGGACTCTGAGGGAGAAGGCGAGGGTGGGATGATTTGAGAGAATAGTATTGAAACATGTATATTATCATATGTGAAATAGATCACCAGTCCAGGTTCAATGCATGAGACAGGTGTTCAGGGCTGGTACACTGGGATGACCCTGAGGGATGGGATGGGGAAGAAGGTGGGAGGAGGGTCAAGATGAGGAACACATGTACATCCATGGCTGATTCATGTGAATGTATGGCAAAAACCACCGCAATATTGTAATTAGCCTCCAATTAAAAAAAAAAAACCTGTCAGATCATTTCAGTACTTGCTGAAAACTCTTTAATAGCTTCCCATCTCAAACAGAAACGCTGCCCCTGAAAGTCCTTAAATGGTCTGAGGGTCTAGTATGGTGTATTCTCCCTCCAACTTCTCTGATTCAATTTCCTACTGGTTTTTCCTTCTTTATTTTATCCTAATCATATCAGTTTAGCTGCTGTTCAATGAATATGCTGAGCACAGTCCTATCTCAAGGTCTCTGCACCCTGTGCCTAGAAACTGCACCTCCTTCAGGTCTCTGCTCAAACACTGCCTTTCAGTGATGCCCTCTCTGATTCTCTCATAACACAGCAACTATTTTCCCAATCCAAATTCTCCCTATTTCCCTTACTCTGCTTAACTTTTCTTCGAAATACTTATCCCTACAAGTGATTAGATTTAACATCAAGCCCATGCTTATCCAGGCCCACCTGGAAGAATGACTTTGGAGTCTGACTCCTCATAGCACTGTTTTGTTAGAAAATACAGAATTATGGTAAATACAGAATGATGTGTCTGCCTAGTCTACTGGGTGGGATGCTACCTGAATTAGAGGAGCTGTGAACTGATACAAGCTGATACAAAGTCTTTGGGCCTCGTGACTAGAATAGTATTAAAAGACTGGTGGGAAACTGAGCCTACTGCTTTTGTGTGTCAAGATGACTTACTAGCTACCAAAATAATAATAAATTTCTTTTGCTACCTTACCCACAAGGGACATGTAAAGCCACTATGAATAAGAGGAATGGCACAGGTAAGTAATTAGAGACTCACTAGTCAAGATGACTTACCCGTGCCATTTCTCTTATTCATAGTGGCTTTACATGTCCCTTGTGGATAAGGTAGCAAAAGAAAGTTTATTATTATTTTGGTAGCTAGTGAGTCTCTCAATGAGACAAAGGTGCTGTACATGCTGTTATCATATATATCATATCTTTCTATAAAACTAATTAAACCTAAGACTAAAATTTGTGACACATGAGTCTGGCTGCCAATTCAAACCCATATCAACTGTTTTTAGTGCATTACCTGGCATATAATGGTTGTCTATTTTCAACTTCTCCCACTAGAACATAAATAAACCCTGTGAGAACTTTGCATTTTTGTCCACTATTCTATCATTACAACCAGAAGTAGTATCTGATATCAAGTATGCTGCTGTGCTGTGCTTAGTCACTCAGTCATGTCCAACTCCTTGTGACCCCATGGACTGTAGCCCTCCAGGCTCCTTTGTCCACGGGAACTCTCCAGGCAAGAATACTGGAGTGGGTTGCCATGCCCTCTTCCAGGGATATCAACTATACTATATATGTAATATACATATATATTTATATGTTGAATAAATGAATTAATAAAGAGATAAAAGAAGAAAAAAATCAATAAAAAGTAAGCCCCAGCAAGATAAGAAGAAATCCAGGGACCTCCCTGGTAAGACAGTGGTTAAGACTCTGTCTTCTAATGCAGGGAGCTTGGGTTTGATCTCTGCTGGGGGAACTAAGGTCCCACATGACTCAGGCTATAGCCAAAAGTGTTTTTAAAAAGAAGAAATACAGAAACTCCAGAAGGAAGACAAGAATATTCAACTATATCAAATTCTGTGAAGAGACTGAATATGATAATAAATATAAAATACTCATAATGTTTGATAATAGATAGGTCATTAACACCAATTAATGTAAGTTGGACCATAAAGAAAGCTGAGGACCAAAGAATTGATGCTTTTGTATGTCATGTTGGAGAAGACACTTGAGAGGCCCCTGGACTGCAAGGAGATCAACCCAGTCACTCCTAAAGGAAATCAATGCTGAATATTCATTGAAAGGACTGATGCTGAAGCTGAAGCTCCAATACTTTGGCCACCTGATGCGAAGAACTGACTCACTGGAAAAGACCCTGGTGCTGGGAAATTGAAGGCAGGAGAAGAAGGGGGCGACAGAGGATGAGATGGTTGGATGGCATCACCAACTCGATGGACATGAGTTTGAGCAAGCTCTGGGAGTTGGTGATGGACAGGGAAGCCTGTGTGCTGCAGTCCATGGGGTCGCAAAGAGTCGGACACAACTGAGCGACTGAGCTGACTGAACTGACGTCATTAATAATATTGGAAAAAGCAAGTTTTGGTAGAGTGAGAGAAGTGAGAGAAGACAAATTGCTAAAAATAATAATTAGTGAGTGGTGCAGAAGTACCAGTAATTTTTAAAGAATATTAACTAAGTGCCTAAGAAAATCAGAGACAAGCTAAACACAAATGGTGAGTTTTATATATAGCCAACTTCAAATCACTTACCAATTTCTTGTTGTGATGAGAGAGGATTTAAATTTTCTGAAGAATAATGTTCACTAAACTGAAAAATAATTTCCATTAAATATTACTCATGGATCAGTAGAACAGTAAGTACAGCATTTATATTAGACTCCAAAGCCTAGTTCTTCTAATAAGCACAATTAGAGTAGACAAAATGGCAACATTCTATATAGAATATGATTACAATTAACAAGAGCTCTATCTTTAAAACTATCATTGATGTATTAAAATAAGGCTTATTGATTTGACTCTGGCAATATATAAAATATTAATAGGCAATACATATTGTACCAATGATAGTTCCTACTTTGGAATATTAATATAACCCAAAATTCTAATTAACTTTGTTTTATTCTAAAGGCCTTTTACAAACCAGGTTGTATTGTATAATAAAAAATAATACAGTTTGATAGCTTCATGTCAGTTCAAATAAACTTTTGCTGCCAAAAGAATCTGTTTTCTTTATAAAATGTGCTTTTCAAAAACTATGATCATTAAATATAGTTTTCTGTTCTCTTTTTTCCCCTCTTAACATTATATTATGAGCATTTTTCCATGTAACTATTCTTCTAAAACTTTATTCCTTTTATGGCATTTTAATATTCCTCCATATGGCCATAACATATAGTTTCAATCATTCTTCTGTTTAAACATTTAGATTGTTTCTATTTCTTTGTCTAATATAAATCACACTTGAATAAATATTATTATGCACAGATTTATATACTTTGACAATTAATAAGGGTAGTTGTTTTTCCCAGAGATTTTTTTAAGTATTTGAACTTCTTTGTCAGTGAATTACCTATTCACCAAATGGACTTTGTCCATATCTCTAATGAGGCAGTAATTTTCTTGCTGGTACATATAAGATGTTTACATAACAAAGAGCTTAATTCTTTGTCATATTATCGCAAATATTTTATAACACATTATTGCTTTGCCTTTAAAACTTTTTGACATATAAAAATTTTGTATGTAACCAAACCAAAACCATTTTTATTTTCTTTTGCCTCTTCTTCCACTGTTTCATGCTTAGAGAATCCTTCTTCTTCCTAAGATCTGGTAACTATTCACCTATATTTCTTCTGAAATATTTTATAGTTCACATTTTAAAATTTAATGTGTCTATAGCATCTTGGAGAAGGAAATGGCAACCCACTCCAGTCTTCTTGCCTGGAGAATCCCATGGACAGAGGAGCCTTGGGGGCTACAGTCCATGGGGTCGCCAAGAGTTGGACACGACTGAGCAACTAAGCAACTTGTGCACGTGTACAACAAATGCCCAATTTATCCCTCCTAATTTGTGGCCCTATTCATACCACAGTCTAAATTCTTTTGATTCAAGACACTGTTCATGCCATGGATCAATCAAACAATCCTTGTACCATTATCGCACTATTTTGATTGCTTGAAGGTTTATAGGATATTTTAATATGTAGAAACTGAAGTTTCCCGTTACCAGTCTTCTATTTCAGAATACTGTCTTACCATTAAAATAAGTAGGAGCTATAATAATATCCTCTCTTTCATACCTTATATAGGTAAATTGTCTAATCTTTTTCTTTATCAATCTAGTAAGTTTATAAATTCTGTTAGTTTTTTTCAAAGAACCAACTTTAGCTTTGCTAATATTCTCTATTTGTTTTCTATTTCAGTGACTTATCTTTCTGATTTTTAATTGTACTTATTTTGGGTCTACCTTCTTTTTTTAGCTTTTCAAGGTAGAACTTTAGGTCACTGATGACAAACCTTTCTTCTTTTCTATTAATTATTTAGTTATTTTGTTCTGGTTTTGGAAGGAACCCACAGATTTTTATATGCAGAATGTTCATAATTCATTTAAAAATCTTTTCTAATTTATTCTTCGATCCATGGCATAAATATTCAGGAATATCCTAGTATCTTATCGATTTCCAATTTAATTTCACTGAGATCAGAGAAAATATTCTACATGATTTCTATCCTTTTCAATTTATTAAGAACCATTTAATAGCCCAGAATATGATCTATCTGTCTTGGTGAATGTACCATCACCACTTGAAAAGAATAAATATGTTGCAGTTGCTGGATGTGGAGTTTTACAACTGTCAATGAGGTCAAGGGGGTTGATGGGGTTGTTTGGATTTTATGTAAGATATTTCTTGATTGTGTTGTCTAATTCTATCAATTGCTGAGAAGGGGGTGTTAAAAATCTCTAACTAAACTTGTTTTCGTCTATTTCTTTAATTCTGTCAGTTTTTGTTTCTACATACACATGGAGAGGAAAAGACCAACTAATTACCTGAAAATTTTTTCACACTGAGAATATGTGAAGCTTGTTTAGAACTATAAAGTCAAACTAATTTTTAAACTGCCTTTAACTGCACTTCAAATCACTGCATCCTGAGATTCTGTTTTTACAAATAGAATCAATGTGAGACAATTGAAGTTAAAAGCACAAAGACAACAGGGGAACTTTTTTAAACTATTAATACTCAGAATCTTTTAAAAACCACCTCTGCAAGTGATGGTGGAAAAGTTGGACAGCTGCATAAATCAACAAACTTAGAACACACCTTCACATCATATACAAAAATAAACTCAAAATGACTTAAAGACTTAAATATAAAACAAAACATCATACAATTCCCAGAAGAGGACACAGGCAAAACAGCCTCTGACATAAATTGTACCTATGTTTTCTTGTCTCCCAAGGCAAAGGAAATAAAAACAAAAATAAACAAATGGGAGCTAGTCAAACTTATAAGCTTTTGCACAGCAAAGAAAACCATAAACAAAATGAAAAGACAACCTACATACTGGAAGAAAATATGTGCAAATGATAAAACCAACAAGGCTTAATTTCTAAAACATACAGGTCATATAGCTCAACAACAAAAAAACAAACAATCCAACCAAAAAAATGGGCAGAAGACCTAAACAGACATTTTTCCTAAGAAGACACACAGTTGGCCAACAGGCACACACAAAAAGATGTTTAATATTATTAATTATTAGGGAAATGCAAATCAAAACTATAATGAGGAATTATCTCACACCAGTCAGAAGGGTCATCATTAAAAAAGTCTACAAATAACAAATGCTAGAAAGGCTGTGGAGAAAAGGGAACCTCTTACACTGTTGGTGGGACTGTAAACTGATGTAGCCACAATGGAAAACAGTACAAAGGTTTCACAAAAAACTAAAAATAAAGTTGCCATTCAAACTAGTAATCTCACTCCTGGGCATATACCCAGACAAAAGTGTAATTCAAAAAGACACATATACCCCTGTGTTCATAGTAACACAACTTACAATAGTCAAGACATGAAAATAGCCTAAATTTCCATTCACAGATGAATGGGTAAAGGTGTGTTATATATTATATATACAATGGAATATTACTCAGCCATTAAAAAGAATGAAATGATGCCATTTGCAGCAACGTGGATGGATTTAGAGATTATACTAAGCGAAGTAAGTCAGAAAGAGAAATATAAATACCATATGATATCACTTACATGTGCGATCTAAAAATACAATATAAATCAATGTATCTACAAAATAAAAACAGACACAGATATAGAGAACAGACTTGCAGTTGCCAAGGGTAGATTGGAAGGGGAGGGAAGGATTGGGAGTTTGGGATTAGCAGAGGCAAACTTTTATATATATTATGGATAAACAACAAGGTCTGACTGTATAGCATAGGGAACTATATTCAATATCCTGAGACAAAACATAATGGAAAAGAATATGAAAAAGAATATATATGTATAACTGAATCACTTTGTATAGCAAAAATCAACAGCAGAAATTAACATAACATTGTAAATCAGTTATACTTCAATAAAATTTAAAAAAAAATAAATTGTCTCTGTTTTGTACACCGCTTCAAGAAAGTTTGATATTAAAGAATTAAACTTTTTCAGGTCCTAGTGAACAATTTTTTAGAAATAAAACGAGCTTCTCATAGTACCTGGTGTGATGAGATTTCCGAATCAAATACAGAAGAATCAAATAAATTCAATCCAGGGGATCGAGAAGTATAACTCATTAAAAAAGAAAATCCAGGGGAGTCCTTTTGGGTTTGACTCTCAGTAGCCGTATCTCTATTTCTGATACAGAGAAATAGGAAATCATCAAATTGTTAAATACATATTATCAAATATTGCAGACTGGTAAGCACTATAGGCACTATGTCATAAAGGTAAGAATTAGCATAGCAGGAAAAAGGAGGAAGTAGTTATTGAAGTGTCAAACCTATGGAGAACAAAACCTATGGTTTGGGTGGAGAATAATATTAAAGTATAATAATCAATTATGAAATGATAATAAAGAATTCTTTCTAAGCATATACTGTCAGGCTCTATTCTATGTATTTCCATCATCATTAATTTACTTATTCCTTAAGTAACCCTCTGAGATAGCTACCATTATTACTATCACCTCCATTTCATAGAAGAGGATTTTGCAGCATAGAAAGATTAAATGATTTGCTTGAAAGAATATAAGTGCCAGACTTGGGATCTGAATGTAGCAACACAGACTCAAAGTCCAAGTTCTTAAACTGTCCCCAAGATCTTGAAAGCAGTCACAAAATTTTAGTCTTAATGAAAAGCCAGCCATGACAGATTGTTTCATAAAGGAGTTAAGTTATAAAATGATTTGGGAAAAATAGTTAGACAAGTCAGTGTATAACACAGTGGTTAAAACCATGAATTATGGAGGCAGAACTGCCTGGGTTTAAATCTCCTCTCTATCACTGATGAGTTGCAGCATCTGTGATTCTGTTTCTTCATCTATAAAATAAGGATAATAATGTACTTACATCTCACAAAGCTGTTGTGAACATGAAAGGAGCAATACTTATAAAATGCTTACACTCAAATTCACTTAACAGTGTATTAAGTGTTAAATAATAGAAGTCTGAAGATACCTCCATAACTATCTCCATGACTGTTAATGAGTCACTTTACAGATTTGTTTTCTCATCCATAAAGACAGGTTTTAGTATATGATTGTTACACCCTTTAACAGTTCCCAGATTTGAAGATAAATTCCATTTTGAACATCCTGTGTTTGAGTCAACAGCATGACATTTATACATAAAAATCTTACTAGCAATTTAAAATACAGAGGAGAACACAGAAGAGAGAGTCCTGATGAAGTGAAATCTATTTGACACATATTTTAGAAGAATCCCAGGATTCAGCATTAAAGAAAAGACTGAACTAAACAAAAAGCTTAAATATAGCATTAGTTTTTTGGCTGTAAACTACAAGTCTGTGGTTTCCAAAGTTAAATAACGATGTTAGAGATATTTATGTCAACCAAAGTTACTTAAATAATGGCAGTTTTTATTTAAGACATTACAACATTAAGGCAAAATGACTGCTGGAATATTATTCAATGATGTCCACCATCTACCAAATGTGACAGTAACTTTTTAGCTTGACATTTTAATATTTTCCATACACCTCTTATTCTTCTGAAAATCTTAAATCTTACAATATTGAACTTAATAGGTACTCAGGATCCATGTTACCTTCAGCTAAACATTTCAGGGAAAATGGGGAAGAGGGTCTATGAAATGAGATGGCAGAGTGGTAAGTATATGAGCATTCATTATACTAACCTCTCTCCTTTGTATATTTGAAATATTCTATAATAGAAAACTTTTTAAAGTTAGAGGTATTAAGCATTTTACTATTCCTATCAATTATTTACATAATTCAAAATATATAGATTCTTGGATTAAAATAATTAAAATCTTACATTTCAAATGAGGGGGTTTTAGGTAATTTCTCCACAGAGTCAGGTGTTTTCACATCTTCAGCAGTCCTTAAAAATAAAGGAATTTCAGGAGTTCGTGGAAAAATCCCAGCCCTTTCTTCTATTTCATCACTATTACTTTCTATTGGCTTCCCAAAATGTTCTGCATATGTAATCTGCAAATTCAAAGTAACAGAAAACTATAAAAAGGAATATTATTGCATTAATAAAGACATATGTAAAAATATGTGAGGTTAAAAACATCAATATTAACATATGATGTTATCAATTCATAAACAAAATAAGTGAAATAAGAATAATTAGTGAAACTGATACCAAAATATACCTGTCAGCAAACAGGAGAATATTTTCAATTTTCTAATTTTTTTCTTCCCAGCTCTATCTCACCTATTAATACCTGAAAAATTAACTCATAACCAGGATATACTCTGATGAAGAAAAATGATTAGAAATAATTTTCCTTTCAAAATTTCCACATTGTGCTCTGGATCAAGATTTGTATACCCCTTTGAAAGAAAAGGGCAATCTTTTTCTCATTGGTTATGTTCTTAGCACTTTTTGCCCTTATAAATTCATTATACTAGTTTCCCTACAAAATTGAGAACTTGAATACTAACTCCCCTTTATATCATTTGGTAAGCTAGGAATATGATTTCTCAAATATTTGTTACCAAATCCCATTTGGAAACAATTTACTTGGGACCCTCCAGCAAAAAAATTTTAATGTGCTCTTTACCTGTATTTCTTTATAGTAGAATCCTACTGCTGTTTCTCTTGTTTTATCCCTTAGCAGCTACAGTACATTGCCTACACCTATAATCACTAGATATCTACTATTGAAAAATACTTTGAAGATATTTTTGTGGCAGCCTTGGCTAATAATTCAATCTTACCAAACAAAATTTCTTTCTTCAGTTATAATTTAGTTGTTGTGGTATCAATATACATAGTCAATTACTAATGACAATTTTTTAAATATTTCATATAAACTTTCTGTGGTTTCACTTTTAAATCTATAACTCCTCCAAGGAATAGAACCTGTAACATCACAGCAACTTGATTACTAAGCTAATAACATCCAGACCTCACATAAATAAGCTTCATTATCCCAAATATGAAATTAAAATGAAAAAAAATTTAAATTAGAATATTCTGCTTAGAAATTAAAAATGAAACATTTGACTTACTTGTGAAGCACATTTTGATTCTGGCAATTGTCTTATCGTCCCTTTATCTCCACACTCAGCATCTGTTTGTTATATGAGAACAAACTACTTTTTCTTTTTGAAACTTAATTATACATAAAACAAATTAAACCATATGAAACTGCCAATATTTAACTGTTCTTGGTCTATAAAAATGGAAATTTTAGATACTTCAATCTAATATATAAAGATAAGAGAATAAAACCTACATGAACAGTTTAACAAACAAAATTATAAAGAGAATACCCCATGTAACTGACACCTTGGTAAAGAAATAGAACATTATGAGTTCTCCAAAAGGCTCCATACTCCCCATAGCCTCCTTCTCAGTGGTAAACACTATCCTGACTTCTGTGATAATCCTTACCCTAATTTGCTTTATCAGTTTATCACTTAAGCAATATGGTTTTTCCTGTTTTAAATGTTATATAATGAAATAATAATGTATGTGCTCTTCATCATGCTTTTTTTGGTTTAATACACTCTTTATGAGATTCATCTATATTGTTGCATATAGACATAGTTTGCTTACTTTTATAGGTGTAAAGTACTCCAGTATACAAACACAACACAATGTAACACAATACTATCCATTCAACTACAGATGGATATTTGGGGTGTTTCTGTTTTGAGCCTATTACAAACAATGATTTTAACACTCTTCTACATATATACTTGTACGTATGTACTTGTATTTCTCTAGGTACTTACCTAGGAGTGGAATTACAAAATATAGGGTATATGTATCTCCCATTTTACCAGATGTTAAACTATTCTCTAATTTTAGTTTTGAAACTATTCACCAATTTTTGTTGTGGCAACTGGCCATCCTGAGCTACCCTAGGGAATTATTCAATTTCACAGGACAAAATTATGAGCTCCAATTATAATTTAGCTATAAGTCAATAAGTTATTTATAAATGACATATTAAAAGTTTCTACCAATAGTTACGAGAGTTTTAATTGTCCAACATTCTTATCAACACTGAACATTGTCAGACATCCCAAATTTTGCTAATCTGATGGGGGTATAATGATATCTCATTGTGGGTTTATTTTTCAGTTTCCTGATTTGCTGAACATTTTTTTAACATGTTTATCTGCCACAAAAGTTTTTCTATTTGAAGTGCCTATTCATAATTATTTTGCACATGTTTCTAATTGGGTTATCTGTAGTTTTCTTCTTGGTTTGCAGAAGTTTTTTACACATTTTTGGAAACTAGTTCTTTGACAGTTTTGTTTATTAAAAATATATTCTCTTGGCTCCCATTCTTTTTAAAGTGTTTTTTGATGAATAGAAATTCTTAGTTTTAATAACCAAATTTATCAGTACTTCTTTTATGATTGTGTTTTTTCATTTTTTTAAAGAAATTCTTCCCTATCTTGAACAGAAGTTTCCCTATTTGGTCATCTGAAAGCTTTATAGGTTTGCCTCTTGCATTAATCACATTACTACTTTCACCATATATTAACTTCTTCAAAAGATAGGCTTGGAGATTGTTGAAGAGAATCTTTCTTCTTCTAAGATAATTATATACCTTCTTGAGTGTGGAGCCTCACCATATAGGCTCAATGGCAGCTAGGACTATGCCAGATATATACATTTTCCCATGTATCTGTATTAGGGGGTATATTGTTCATAGAGATTATCCATTCCTCCCTGTCTAACACTCTGTCAGCTTAGCATATACAGAGGATTATAAACAGGTGAAATATATCACCTGGATAGATAAGTCATAATCCTTTTTTCCAGAAGAAAGTTGGAGGAATATCCATCTAAGCATATTGTCTTGGTTGGATCCTATATTGAGAGTGAGAGGAATAGGCTTATAGTATATTATATGACCATGCAGAATATGCATATATTTACCACCAGAATGAGTCATTTTTTTAAATTTCAAAATAAGTCAAGAAGAGATAAAGACTTTTATATAGCCTAATTACTACTTTTTATTGGCCAACTATCAGTCAGTCAGTTCAGTCACTAAGTTGTGTCTGACTCTTTACAGCTCCATAGACTGCAGCACGCCAGGCTTCCCTATCCATCACCAACTCCCGGAGCTTGCTCAGATTCATGTCCATCAAGTTGGTGATGCCATCCAACCATCCCATCCTCTGTCGTCCCCTTCTCCTCCTGCCTTCAATCTTTCCCAGCATCAGGGTCTTTTCCAATGAGTTAGTTCTTCGCATCAGGGGCAACTATATATATATATTATATATGTATATAATATATATTTTATATATAATTTATATATTTTTATATTATTTTATATATTATATAAACAATAATTTTATAATATATATAATAAAAATAATTATATATATAAACAATATATATATTTGTGTCTCTATGATATATATTTTATATATACATATATATGTGTGCATACAGTTTATATTATACACACACACAGAGATAGAGAATGAGTCTCTGTCTCTCAAGGGTGCATCAAAGTTCTAAGAGCTACTTGATTCTAGGATAACACAATCATACATATATGTCCTGTGACCTTTCTATGATTTAATCAAAGAAAATAATCTAAGATAGCAAAATATTTATATAAAAGAATATAGTAGCATCATTTATAACAACAAAAAAATCTAGAAATAACAAAATATTCAGTGTGAGAGACTGCTAAATAAATTAAAGCATACCCATGCAAAGATATATTATAAGTCATCACAAATAAAATCTATTTAATGGCATGGAAAAATATCCTCAAGGGCATATCAAGTGGAAAGAAAAAGATCCAAAGTAATATACATAGTATGCTTCAAATTTGAAGAAACAAACAAAAAGAAAAAAAAATATGCATAGAGAAAAAATATACAATAGTATGTGTAGTACCAGTTATATCTGGGTGGTTGGTATTTTTGCTTCTTTTATATTTTTCTCCATTTTCCAAATTTTCTACAATAAGCGTATTTGTTTTATATTTAAGAAAAACATATTTTAAAACCAGGCATGCACGGTGAGTTAGCCAGAGATGCAAACAATCCAAATAATTTATTTGACTAGTATAAAAATCTGATATAACTTGTTACTCCCATTTCTTAGGAATAATATAAATGGCAAATACCTGTATCTCTCTTTTCTAACCACTGATTGCAGTTTGATTGTTTCTGTGGGGTTACTAATCTAAAATACAATAAACAACATTTTTATATTATTTACTGAGTTGATCATTTCAGAAAACAAGTCAATTTATGATTTTTAAAGGTTACCTGAACTGCATAACATTTTGTGAATTTTTAAAAGCCGGCGTAACATGTGTACATTTTGGATGGTTATTCACAGCAGAGTCATTCAATACCTGAACAAAAGAAATTAAGCATTAGAATTGACTATACAAAACAATAAAATGTTTTGCTTGCCATGGCTACTCAGGGCTCTCATAGAACATTGTCATCCACCTCATCATCAGTATTATTATCAACATTGACGAGTACAAACATTAAATGAAACCACTGCATGCAAAACATTAAGTCAAACACTGGGAAACAGAAAGGTGAGTCTCAAGGAATTTGATGTTTTTGAAAAGTATAATTACTATGCCTGATAGTATATATACATTTAAGGTAAACTTAAAATTTTGTCTTCCTTATTCATGATTAATTAAGTGAATCTTAACTCTTAATTTAATTAATTTATGTTCAGTTCAGTTCAGTTCAATCGCTCAGTTATGTTTGATTCCTTGCAACCCCATGGACTGCAGCACGCCAGGCCTCAATATCCATAACCAACTCCCAGAGTTTACTCAAGCTTATGTCCATTGAGTCAGTGATGCCATCCATCCATCTCATCCTCTGTCATCCCCTTCTCCTCCCGCCTTCAATCTTTCCCAGTATCAGGGTCTTCTCAAATGAGTCAGTTCTTCCCATCAGGTGGCCAAAGTACTGGAGTTTCAGCTTCAGCATCAGTCCTTCCAATGAACACCCAGGACTGATCTCCTTTAGGATGGACTGGTTGGATCTCCTTGCAGTCCCAGGGAGTCTTCTCCAACACCACAGTTCAAAAGCATCAATTCTTCAGTGCTCAGCTATCTTTATAGTCCAACTCTCACATCCATACATGATTACTGGAAAAACCATAGCTTTGACTAGATGGACCTTTGTTGGCAAAGGAATGTCTCTGCTTTTTAATATGCTGACTAGGTTAGTCATAAATTTTCTTCCAAGGAGCAAGCGTCCTTTAATTTCATGGCTGCAGTCACCATCTGCAGTGATTTTGAAGCCCAAAAAAATAAAGTCTAACACTGTTTCCACTGTTTACCCATCTATTTGCCATGAAGTGATGGGACCAGATGCCATGATCTTAGTTTTCTCAATGTTGAGTTTTAAGCCAACTTTTTCACTCTCCTCTTTCACTTTCATCATGAGGCTCTTTAGTTCTTCTTTGCTTTCTGTCATAAGTGTAGTGTCATCTGCATATCTGAGGTTATTGATATTTCTCCCAGCAATCTTGATTCCAGCTTGTGCTTCATCCAGCACAGCGTTTTTCGTGATATCCTCTGCATAGATGCTAAATAAGCAGGGTGACAATATACAGCCTTGATGTACTCCTTTCCCTATTTGGAACCAGTCTGTTGTTCCATGTCCAGCTCTAACTGTTGCTTCCTGACCTGCATACAGATGTCTCAAGAGGCAGGTTAGGTGGTCTAGTATTACCATCTCTTTAAGAATTTTCCACAGTTTGTGGTGATCCACACAGTCAAAGGCTTTGGCATAGTCAATAAAGCAGAAGTAGATGTTTTTCTGGAACTCTCTTGCTTTTTTGATGATCCAGCAGATGTTGGCAATTTGATCTCTGGTTCCTCTGCCTTTTCTAAATCCAGCTTGAGCATCTGGAAGTTCACGGTTCACGTATTGCTGAAGCCTGGCTTGGAGAATTTTGAGCTTTACTTTACTAGCGTGTGAGATGAGTGCAATTGTGCAGTAGTTTGAGCATTCTTTGGCATTGCCTTTCTTTGGGATTGGAATGAAAACTGACCTTTTCCAGTCCTGTGGCCACTGCTGAGTTTTCCAAATTTGCTGGCATATTAGTGCAGCACTTTCACAGCATGTTTTAGGATTTGAAATAGCTCAACTGGAATTTCATCACCTCCACTAGTTTTGTTTGTAGCGATGCTTTCTAAGGCCCATTTGACTTTGCATTCCAGGATGTCTGGCTCTAGGTGAGTGATCACACCATCATTATTATCTGGGTCGTGAAGATCTTTTTTGTACAGTTCTTCTCTGTATTCTTGCCACCTCTTCTTAATATCTTCTGCTTCTGTTAGATCCATACCATTTCCATCCTTTATTGTGCCCATCTTTACAAGAAATGTTCCCTTGGTATCTCTAATTTTCTTAAAGAGATCTCTAGTCTTTCCCATTCTATTGTCTTCCTCTATATCTTTGCACTGGTCACTGAGGAAGGCTTTCTTATCTCTCCTTGCTAGTCTTTGGAGCTCTGCATTCAAATGGGTATATCTTTCCTTTTCTCCTTTGCTTTTCGGTTCTCTTCTTTTCACATCTATTTGTAAGGCCTCCTCAGACAGCCATTTTGCTTTTTTGCATTTTTTTCTTGGGGATGGTCTTGATCCCTGTCTCCTATACAGTGTCATGAACCTCTGTCCATAGTTCATCAGGCACTCTGTCTATCAGATCTAATCCCTTGAATCTATTTCTCACTTCCACTGTATAATTGTAACGGATATGATTTAGGTCATACCTAAATGGTCTAGTGGTTTTCCCTACTTTCTTCGAGTCTGAATTTGCCAATAAGGAGTTCATGGTCTGAGCCACAGTCAGCCCCCGTTCTTGTTTTTGCTGACTGTATAGAGCTTCTCCATCTTTGGCTTCAAAGAATATAATCAATCTAATTTTGGTACTGACCATCTGGTGATGTCCATGCGTAGAATCTTCTCTTGTGTTGTTGGGAGAGGGTGTTTTCTATGACCAGTGCCTTCTCTCGGCAAAACTCTATTAGCCTTTGCCCTGCTTCATTCTGTACTCCAAGGCCAAGTTTGCCTGTTACTCCAGGTGTTTCTTGACTTCCTACTTTTGCATTCCAGTCTCCTATAGTGAAAAGGACATCTTTTTTGGGTGTTGTTATTTCTAGAAGGTCTTGGAGGTCTTCACAGAACTGTTCAACCTCAGCTTCTTCAGTTTTACTGGTCGTGGCATAGACTTGAACTACCTTGATATTGAATGGTTTGCCTTATAAATGAATAGAGATCATTCTGTCATTTTTTAGTTTGCATCCAAGTACTCTTGCAGTACTTGGATGCAGTCTTTGGATGCAATTAACTTATGTCTGTGTCTCTAAATCCCCTAAACCCTCTAGAGTTGAATACAGGAAAGGAAAACAAGTTAAAAGAGTAAATCCTGAAACCTTCTTTTTAAAACATGTATGACACACATGGCAGAACTAATATATTGTTTTTAACTTTAAATTTTATGTAATGCTTAAATCACTGCTTTACTAATGTTTATACTGTTTCAAGTCTTTCATTCTCCCCGAGTCATTCATTTTGAAGAGTTACTGGTTTTTCTTATTTTACCTGTAATTAAAATATCTTTAATAGGAAAGTTTATCCAAATACTTCTGTTATAACAGCCATTGGTCTTAATTCTGTCATTTTTATTTTGCTTTTGTTGTTGTTGTTCAGTTGCTCAGTCGTGTCCAACTCTTTGCAACTCCATGAACTGCAGCAGGCCAGGCTTCTCTGTCCTTCACCATCTCCCAGAGCTTGCTCAGACTCATGCCCATTGAGTCAGTGATGCCATCCAACCACCTCATCTTCTGTCATCCCCTTCTCCTCCTTCCTCCAATCTTTCCCAGGATCAGGGTCTGATTTCCAATGAGTTGGCTCTTCACATCAGGTGGTCAAAGTATTGGAGCTTCAGCTTCAGCATCAGTCCTTCTGATGAATATTCAGAATTGATACCCTGTAGGATTGACTGGTTTGATTTCCTTACTGTCCAAGGGACTCTCAAAGAGTCTTCTCCAACACCACAGTTCAAAGGCACCAATTCTTTGGCATTCAGCCTTCTTTATGCTCCAACTCTCACATCCATAACGACTACTGGAAAAACCATAGCTTTGACTACATGGACCTCTGTAGGCAAAGTAACGTCTCTGTTTTTTAATACACTGTCTAGGTTTGTCATAGCTTTTATTCTAAGAACAAAGTATCTTTTAATTTTGTGGATACAGTCACCATCTGCAATGATTCTGGACCCAAGAAAATAAAGTCTCTCACTGTTTCCCCATATATTTGCCATGAAGTGATGGGACCAGATGCCATGATCTTTGTTTGCCTCTCAGAAGACATTTGACAGTATCTGGAGATATTTTTGATTGTCATAAATTGCAGATGAGGTGCTACTGGACTCTAGTAGATCACCAGAGTAATTAATTTTTTCTGTGGACATCCCCACAATAAAGAACTATCTGATCCAAAATGTCAACAGTGTCACTATTGAGAAACTCTGATGTAAGGTTTGACAGAATTCACCTGAAAAATTGAGTCTGAAGTTTCCTGGAGGGCATGTGTGGTAGAGGGAAAACGGAGGGAAATAAGGGAGAAAAGAGGGAAATAGGCATTTATTCACATTTCAGCTTCATTTACATTTCTATTTCTTCTAAGTTATTGATCTATTCATGTTTTTCTTTTTCAATCTAACAATTTATATTGTCCAAAAAATTTTCCATCTCACCTAAATTTTCAAGTTTGTTGGTATATAATTTTACATAGTATCATCTTAGGACTTTGAAAAGATTTCTTTCATAGGTGTAGTGATACACACTTTTCCCTCACTTTATAGTTTTCTTTTTTGAGGGGGGACTTCTCTTTCTTTCTGTACACTTGCTGAAACTTATTAGTGTTTGGCTATATTAATTGACCCAATTTTTAAATTTCATAAATTTATGCTTTTCTCTATTAATTCCTACTTTTTTGCATTTATTATTTTATTTTTGTATTTTAAGTTAAGCTTTTCATACTTTAAGTTCAACTTTTCAGATTAATACTTAATGTTTGGCTGATTTTAATCTTCCTTATTTTCTAATATGTTTGTCTTCAAACATAAACTTCTCTCTGAAGACTAACTTGGCTACATTTCACAGGTTTGGGTTTATAGTATCCTTTTAAATAGTTTTTAAATTCTATTTTTATTTCTTCTATAACCCCAAAGTAATTTGAAAGCATGTGAATTATGGCAGAAAATGAAGATGAACTAAAGAGTCTCTTGATGAAAGTGAAAGAGGAGAGTGAAAAAGTTGGCTTAAAACTCAACATTCAGAAAACTAAGATCATGGCATCCAGTCCCATCACTTCATGGCAAATAGATGGGGAAACAGTGTCAGACTTATTTTTCTGGGCTCCAAAATCACTGCAGATAGTGACTGCAGCCATGAAATTAAAAGACGCTTACTCCTTGGAAGGAAAGTTATAACCAACCTAGACAGCATATTAAAAAGCAGAGAAATTACTTTGTCAACAAAGGTCCGTCTAGTCAAGGCTATGGTTTTTCCAGTGGTCATGTATGGATGTGAGAGTTGGACTATAAAGAAAACTGAGCACCGAAGAATTGATGGTTTTGAACTGTGGTGTTGGAGAAGACTCTTGAGAGTCCCTTGGACTGCAAGGAGATCCAACCAGTCCATCCTAAAGGAGATCAGTCCTGGGTGTTCATTGGAAGGACTGATGCTGAAGCTGAAATGCCAATACTTTGGCCACCTGATGCAAAGAACTGACTCATTTGAAAAGACCCTGATGCTGGGAAAGATTGAAGGCAGGAGGAGAAGGGGACAGCAGAGGATGAGATGGTTGGATGGCAACACCAACTCAATGGACATGGGTTTGGGTGGACTCTGGGAGTTGGTGATGGACAGGAAGGCCTGGCCTGCTGCAGTTCATGGAGTCGCAAAGAGTTGGACATGACTGAGTGACTGAACTGAACTGAATTTCCTTTTACTCAACCAAATAGTTTTCTGAGGAGAAGGCTATCTTTTTGTTTAACTTGTTTAACTTTTTTTATGTTATGGTTAGTGAAGATAGCAGCTTTTTAGAATTGGAGGAGATATCCTTTTTGTTCTAACAGTCGATTTTGGTGAATACTGCAAACAAAATTTAACTGAATTATGTGTATGTTGGGCACAAAGTTTACTATTTGTGTTTGATCCTCTACATCCTTACTTATTTTTCATCTATATGATTCATTCTTGTTGGCAGAAACTGCTAGTTTTCTATCTTCTTCAAAATCTACATTTCCTTTATGTTCTGATTTAAAAAGCAAACAAAAAGCCCACCATGTTTGTCAACCTCTCTGCAGATAGAGGTAACCATGTTACAAAGTTCTTGTAAATGAAACATTAACATAAATTGTTTAAGGAGCTTCCATGAAAGATCCTTAAAAATGAGGCTTACTCAACTAGACTTTTTTCCCCTTCTTCTTTACTTCCTAGAAGGAAGATATGATAGCAAGTTGTAATGGTTATTCTAACCATGAAATAACCTTGAGGTAAAAGCTTAGCATAAGGATAGCAGGAAAAGAAAACACCAATGGAACTCAAGAAATGATGACATTATGGAGATGGTGCCACAATTTCCCTTTCAATTTAATTCCTTTAGAAATGTCTTTTAGATTTTGGTCCACTGGGTACAAGGATTGATATTTTCAAATATCTTTTATTTTTAGAAGTAAAGGAGAAGGCTACAGAATATGTTCAGGCTACCATACAAAACTCCTAAGTTTTTCAGATCCTGATATTGTACTAATGGCTAATTTAATATATTTATAACACACACACACACACACACACACACACACACATCCTAAATGCAGTGCATTCACTATATCATTTAATGCAAGCATTTAATTTGTACTAGTAAAAAAGAAATACCTACACATGCATCATTTTCTTTTTGCTTGAAGTCAACACTGGCAAGCTTTGACTGCCTCACAGAACTTTCTTCTTTTTTATCTAGATTATTAAATTGTACAACTTCAAATCAGTTCCAGAAATAGAATCAAATGTCATGTCCAACATTTAACCTAACCTTGTAATTTAAAAAATCAAGTTATAAAATATTTAAAGTAAAGAATTATGAAATTATTACATAATCTTAATTCTCCAATATATAATAGCTACTAAAATAACCACGTATGTAAAATGAAAAACAGCTGATTAAAGAGAAATAAGTAAATTTTTTAAATTAAATTTTAAAAAGTAGCTGACAAAACTCATCTTTATAATGGGGAACCAAAGAACAAAGAGTGGTTATGTAAATGATTGGGGAATAAAACAGCTAGTGTAGTTAACCTAGCACAATGTAGTTAATCTACCCATTGAATAAAACATGATTCAAATGTCTCAGTAACTAAGTCACAATATCATTACAAGTCTCATCACCATGGGGTCGCAAAGAGTCGTACACAACTGAGTGACTTTAATCATACATAATGACAATACAACCTCTCAAATGAAAAACATACAATTATTCATCCTCTTCTGATAGCTGGAAACCAGACTAAAACTCTTTTTTAAAAAAAACATGAGTGGTTTCTCTCTCAAAAAGAAAAATGTTATGTATAGAAGGCATATCTTGGTTGCTCTCAGAAAGAACCAAAGTGGCACTTTATGAGTCTATAAGTCTCCAGTATTGTAAGCTCTTGCTTACACCAAATGATAAGTAAAATGGCTCCTTTCTATTTCTTCCTTTACATGTTCTCAAATAAAACTAAGTTTTTGAATAATAAACAGATACTATACCTATAACTCTTGGTTCTGAAGAATGCATCTTTATTGGTTTGACTAATTTCTGAGATTCATATGGAAGAAATAATTGATTGTTTTGAGGGGTTTTGTTCAACATAAGTACAGGTTGTGGATCTTTTTCAAAAATTCTAAAGAGAAGAGTGAATAATATTAAATATTAGCTAAGTAAAAATTAGCATATTTTAAAATTAGAAGAGATATTTAGATATTATAAAGCTAAAACTCCTCAAATTGTATAGAATATGTAATCAATTTTAAATGTAGAATATCTGTTCACATAAAGAAAGTCCCATTTTAAAGTTTACCTATACCTTTCTCTCGGGGCTTCCCTGGTGGCTAAAATGGTAAAGACTGCCTGCAATGCAGGAGACCCTGCTTGGGAAGATCCCCTGGAGAAGGGAATGGCTACTCTCTCCAGTATTCTTGCTTAGAGAGTCCCATAGACAAAGGAGCCTGGCGGGCTCCAGTCCATGGGGTCACAAAGAGTCCAACATAACTTAGCAGCTAAACCACCACCATACCTTTCTTTCAATTCCTTTCTCTTTTCTACATTTTTATTTTTTTCTTCTAGAGTTTCTGGAAGATTCTTCATTTCATAATGTCTTGCAATCTGCTAAAAAGAAAAACGACAAAGCAAAACAAAATAAATATCTGCAAAGCATTAAGAAACATTTGGTTATCTTAAATAATGAATATGATTTTTTCTACATAATCACAAGATTTATATTTTTGGTAGTACTAACAATCTTTTAGTGAAAGTTACTAAAACAGTCAAAATTAACAATAAATCATACTCCTTTTATTTTTCCTTACAACTCCATTAGAAAACCTAGATTTCCATCAACTTTCATTCTTTTTAAAAAGGACAATCAGAAGCAATGTAGACATTGATTCCCTACATAGGGATGTCCAATAGTTACTATATATTTTAAAGAAAGTGACACCCACTTTCTTCTTACTGAAATGATATTACTGTTATGTGGAACCTCATGCCTATGGATGATAAATATACCATCTTTAAAACAATTTTCATAAAATTTAGAAAATTGGCCATTCAACTTTTTAAGTGACTTTGGTGGCTCTCATACTCATCAATTAAAGCCACATTTCAATAGATGACACTAAAAATTTATTCAAGAAAATATCATGTATCATCAATCTTTTTTTTTTTTCATGTATCATCAGTCTTAAAGGCTAAAAACTAGATATGGCCTAGCTTTATAAAGATTGCAGTCATAAATTTTCTAGATTAAGTTTTTTAAATCATTTAATAACTTGTTTTCCTTTTTGACAGCACTGCTGTAAGCTCTGTTAATGCCTTTAAATACCTATTATTAAAGCTCCAACTTGCTCTTTCTTTATCTTCTTTCCTTAGCACTCAAAGAAAGTTAAACTATTTCCCAAAACTCAAAGTTGAATATACTCAATACCTAAAAACATTTTGGCTTCAAAGGTAATCTGAGGCAAATAAATTATTGAGTTGCTTTAGAAATAGCTCTTCTTAGACTGTCATCTAACATACCATTACACTTATACATTAACACACATATTAGAAACATATAACAAAATTAATACCTGGTTTAAATAATTAATTTCTATTTCCATGTCATCTATTTCTTTCTTCAAGTCACATGATCTTTTGGAAAACTGGTTAGCATGTTTAAGAATATCTTGTGTTTTGTATCTCAAATTAACCCTTTTATGTTAAGGAACTATCTTATATAAATAACTTTCACATTTATAATATAAGTACTGTATCAAAAATAATTAGTATTATGTAAAATTAATTATATATATTATGTAAAAATAATTATTCATATACACAATATGAATAACAGTATCTGAAAACAGCAGAAAGACTAGTACAAAAATCTGGCAAACTGTCAATTTACTGTTTGTCTACATTATATACTTAGCTTAAAAATAACACTTTATCAAAATACATGTTAGGATTTTTTCTTTCAGTTAAATTTTTTCACAGGGCAGTTTTTTACTTTTATTTTTTACCCGTTTATCATGTCATTTGGCATGATGAACATAATCAAGTCCAAACTTAACTGCTTCAGTTTCTATAATTTATTTGTTCCAAGATCAACATTATAAATCCACTTAATCTTCCTTTTCTTGCTCTTTACGGTCTATCTGTGCACCAGAACCCAAAAGAGAGCTATATCTTCTGTTTGAACTTTCTGCCTGAACTAGATTTACACTCAATTTGAAGTAGAGAATCTCTCAGCTGTTAACAAACATTCTGCATCATTACTAGTTTCTACAATTTCCTAAGTTACTCTGCAATCCATTAGGAAAATTTTTAAATGTATAGAACAGTGCTAATGAACAAGAACTCCAGAGAAAATCTTTGCCAGACCTTTCCTATTTCACTAAAATTTATGATTCATATGCTAGAACATAAAATTTCAAATGAACATTAATTATAACACTATGCTGTTATCATAATATCAATTTAAATTTTTTAGATATAGACATGTAATTCCTAGTCTTCAACTCTCCCCACCTTCATCACTTCTTCATGTCTGTCAAACAGTCTTATGTCTCATCCGTTTCTACAATCCAAGTCCTTAAACCCCTGCTGTGCCTTCTGCATCTACCACCAACCTCTGCCTCTCCCCACTGAAAATTAAAACACTCACAGTTTAGTAGAGGAAATGGACATGCAAACAAGTAATTCTATTGTAGTGGCAATGTATTAGATCAGCAGCAAATGAACAACTAAGTACAGAACAAGCTAAAACCCAAACATGAAGAGAGCAAACAGCAAAGGAGTTAAAAGGATAATTTAGGATGAAGCAAGGTAGAATGCAGGGATAAAGAAGACTTAGTACAAACAGTGGAGTTATAATCTGATAGGAAAGCATATCAAGGATTGTAGAGGTTGGAAGAGGATTAAAGTTCCAAGTTCATCATGGGAGAAGATCTCCTTGACAAACAGATGAGACTTAGACCAATTAAAAATTACTTAAGCATCTAATACAATGCCACTGCATTAGAATTACTCGTTTACATGTTTATTTCCTCTACCAAACTGTGAGCTCCTTATAAGAAAGTTCTGTATCTTCTTTAGTACTTCCCAGCACAATGTAGATACCCAATAAACTGTGACTCACCTCTTTACCATCTTCCATCCTAATAGGAAATAATCAACTGATTTAATTGAAACTCTTTGGTAAGACAAAGCAAAATAACTTTTTCATTGGTTTGGTTGTTAAGTTATGCCACTTAAAGACAAGTACATATACCACTTTATTTGCATTAAAATTTCTTGCTTTTGATGACATGCACATATAGGAAAACTAATTCCAGATGATCTTTAAAGTAATCTCTTAAGTTTTTAATTAAACAAAAACCCAAATCAATGTAATAGTCACAGGGAAACACAGTAACAGCTAGAATACAGAAACAATACTTATCAAATAAAAATTACAAGTAGAAATACTACTGTGGATACATATGTAGTGTCCAACTGGTAAGTGATGGAAAGGGAGCAGGCACTGAAAAACAAAACCATATTTTAGATTTATTTATTATATTATATTCACTACAAGGGTAATGTTAGTAAAACAGTATGTATCAAAAATATGTATGTATCAAACAGTATGTATAAAAAAATTAATACCTAAAAATTCCATAAAAATATTTTCATTCATTTTCAGTTGTTCAGTACATGCCAACACTCTGTTTTGAATTTCTTCATATTCTCTTTTCTTCTCATAATATTCATGTGAGAGGGGTGTTTCTGAGAATTTTAGTTGGTATTGCTTTAAAACATCTTTATACTGACATATATAACCATGGTATACTTTTCTGTTAAAATTAAAAGAAATTATGTCAATATAACAAAAGTGTATCTAAAAACTTTCTAAAATCACTTGTTAAAAACTACTAAATTAAGCATAAAAGACAAGCTAAAAATCTACTTATTTTTGCTTCACTCATTTTGCTTCACTTTTGCCCTTTAAACTTTTCTCAACTCTATTAAACTTTTCAATTCTCTACTCTTATTCTTCACTACCTGAGTCACTCACTCCCTCAGTTCAGTTCAGTCGCTCAGTCGTGTCCGACTCTTTGCGACCCCATGAATCGCAGCATGCCAGCCCTCCCTGTCCATCACCAACTCCTGGAGTTTACTCAAACTAATGCCCATCGAGTCCGTGATGCCATCCAGCCATCTCATCCTCTGTTGTCCCCTTCTCCTCCTGCCCCCAATCCCTCCCAGCATCAGGGTCTTTTCCAATGAGTCAACTCTTCGCATGAGGTGGCCAAAGTACTGGAGTTTCAGCTTCAGCATCAGTCCTTCCAATGAACACCCAGGACTGATCTCCTTTACAATAGACTGGTTGGATCTCCTTGCAGTCCAAGAGACTCTCAAGAGTCTTCTCCAACACCACAGCTCAAAACCATCAATTCTTCGGCGCTCAGCTTTCTTCCCAGTTCAACTCTCACATCCATACACGACTACTGGAAAAACCAAAGCCTTGACTAGACAGACCTTTGTTGGCAAAGGAATGTCTCTGCTTTTTAATATGCTGTCTAGGTTGGTCATAACTTTCCTTCCAAGGAGTAAACGTCTTTTAATTTCATGCCTGCAGTCACCATCTGCAGTGATTTTGGAGCCCAAAAAAACAAAGTGTAACACTGTTTCCACTGTTTCCCCATCTACTTGCCGTGAAGTGATGGGACCAGATGCCATGATCTTAGTTTTCTCAATGTTGAGTTTTAAGCCAACTTTTTCACTCTCCTCTTTCACTTTCTTTTTTTTTCACTCTCCTCTTTCACTTTCATCAAGAGGCTTTTTAGTTCCTCTTTACTTTCTGCCATAAGGGTGGTGTCATCTGCATATCTGAGGTTATTGATATGTCTCCCAGCAATCTTGATTCCAGCTTGTGCTTCTTCCAGTCCAGCGTTTCTCATGATGTACTCTGTATATAAGTTAAATAAGCAGGGTGACAATATACAGCCTTGATGCACTCCTTTTCCTATTTGGAACCAATCTGTTGTTCCATGTCCAGTTCTAACTGTTACTTCCTGACCTGCATACAGGTTTCTCAAGAGGCAGGTCAGGTGGTCTGGTATTCCCATCTCTTCCAGAATTTTCCACAGTTTATTGTGAGCCACACAGTCAAAGACTTTGGCATAGTCAATAAAGCAGAAGTAGATGTTTTTCTGGAACTCTCTTGCTTTTTTGATGATCCAGCAGATGTTGGCAATTTGATCTCTGGTTCCTCTGCCTTTTCTAAACCAGCTTGAACATCTCAAAGTTCACAGTTCTTGTGCTATTAAAGCCTGGCTTGGAGAATTTTGAGCTTTACTTTACTAGCATGTGAGATGAGTGCAATTGTGCAGTAGTTTGAACATTCTTTGGCACTGCCTTTCTTTGGGATTGGAATGAAAACTGACTTTTTTCAGTCCTGTGGCCACTGCTGAGTTTTCCAAATTTGCTTGCATATTGAGTGCAGCACTTTCACAGCATCATCTTTCAGGATTTGAAATAGCTCAACTGGAATTCCATCACCTCCACTAGCTTTGTTTGTAATGATGCTTTCTAAGGCCCACTTGACTTCACATTTCAGGATGTCTGGCTCTAGGTGAGTGATCACACCATCGTGATTATCTGGGTCATGAAGATCTTTCTTGAATAGTTCTTCTGTGTATTCTTGCCAACACTTCTTAATGTCTTCTGCTTCTGTTAGATCTACCATTTCTGTCCTTTATTGTGCCCATCTTTGCATGAAATGTTCCCTTCAGTTCAGTTCAGTTAAGTCGCTCAGTCATGTCCAACTCTTTGCAACCCCAGGTATCACAGAACGCCAGGCCTCTCTGTCCATCACCAACTCCTGGAGTTTACTCAAACTCATGTCCATTGAGTTGGTGATGCCATCCAGCCATCTCATCCTCTGTCGTCCCCTTCTCCTCCTGCCCCCAATCCCTCCAGGCATCAGGGTCTTTTCCAATGAGTCAACTCTTCATATGAGGTGGCCAGAGTATTGGAGTTTCAGCTTCAGCATCAGTCCTTCCAATGAACACCCAGGACTGATCTCCTTTAGGATGGACTGGTTGGATCTCCTTGCAGTCCAAGAGACTCTCAAGAGTCTTCTCCAACACCACAGTTCAAAACCATCAATTCTTCGGTGCTCAGCTTTCTTCACAGTCCAACTCTCACATCCATACATGACCACTGGAAAATCCAAAGCCTTGACTAGACAGACCTTTGTTGGCAAAGGAATGTCTCTGCTTTTTAATATGCTATCTAGGTTGGTCATAACTTTCCTTCCAAGGAGTAAGAGTCTTTTAATTTCATGGCTGCAATCACCGTCTGCAGTGATTTTGGAGCTCCCAAAAATAGTCTGACACTGTTTCCACTGTTTCCCCATCTATTTCCCATGAAGTGATGGGACCGGATGACATGATCTTAGATTTCTGAATGTTGAGCTTTAAGCCAACTTTTTCACTCTCCTGTTTCATTTTCATCAAGAGGCTTTTTAGTTCCTCTTCACTTTCTGCCATATGGGTGGTGTCATCTGCATATCTGAGGTTATTGTTCCCTTGGTAGCTCTAATTTTCTTGAAGAGATCTCTAGTCTTTCCCATTCTATTGTCTTCCTCTATATCTTTGCACTGATCATTGAGGAAGGCTTTCTTATCTCTCCTTGCTAGTCTTTGGAACTCTGCATTCAAATGGGTATATCTTTCCTTTTGTCCTTTGCTTTTCACTTCTCTTCTTTTCACAGCAATTTTAAGGCCTCCTCAACAGCCATTTTGCTTTTTTGCATTTCTTTTTCTTGGGGATGGTCTTGATCCCTGTCTCCTATACAATGTTATGAACCTCCATCCACAGTTCTTCAGGCAGTCTGTCAGATCTAATCCCTTGAATCTATTTCTCACTTCCATTGTATAATTGTAACGGATTTGATTTAGGTCATACCTGAATGGTCTAGTGATTTTCCCTACTTTCTTCAATTTAAGTCTGAATTTGCCAATAAGGAGTTCATGATCTGAGCCATAGTCAGCTCCTGCTCTTGTTTTTGCTGACTGTATAGAGCTTCTCCATCTTTGGCTTCAAAGAATATAATCAATCTGATTTCGGTATTGACCATCTGGTGATGTCCATGTGTAAAGTCTTCTCTTGTGTTGTTGGGAGAGGGTGTTTTCTATGACCAGTGCATTCTCTTGGCAAAACTGGAAGGTGTTGTATGTCTTCACAGAACCAGTCAACTTCAGCTTCTTCAGCCTTAGTGGTTGGGGCAGTACTTGGGCCAGTATTTGGGTACCAAAACGCAGTACTTGGGTGCAATCTCAAAAACAGCAGAATGATCTCCATTCATTTCCATGGCAAACCATTCAACATCACAGTAATCCAAGACTATGCCCCAATCAGTAAGGCTGAAGAAGCTGAAGTTGACCGGTTCTGTAAAGACATACAACACCTTCTAGAACTAACACCAAAAATAGATGTCCTTTTCATCACAGAGGATTGGAATGCAAAAGTAGGAAGTTAAGAGATACTTGCAGTAACAGGCAAGTTTGGCCCTGGAATACAAAATGAAGTAGGGCAAAGGCTAACAGAGTTTTGTCAAGAGAACACACTAGTCATAGCAAACACTGTCTTCCAACAACACAACAGACAATTCTACATGTGGATATCACCAAATGGTCAGTGCCAAAATTGATTCTATTCTTTGCAGTCGAAGATGGAGAAACTCTATACAGTCAGCAAAAACAAGACCTGGAGTTGACTGTGGCTCAGATCTTGAGCTCCTTACTGAAAAATTCAGACTTAAATTGAAGAAAATAAGGGAAACCACTAAGTCATACATCAATTATACCTCAATAAATCTGGGGGGAAAATAGTAAGAAGAAAAATTAAAATTAAAAATAAAATTTATACTGTTTTTATCCAATTATGTTAAAAATAAAAATATTTCAATTTTTTAAATTAAGTGAAATTATATAATGTGTTCCAAGGTCCTCACTTTGTTTCATTATATTCACTAACTACATTTAATCCCCCAAACCAAGTGATTTAATACACAATAAACCCACACAAATATTAATATTTCTCCATCAGAATATAATATCCTACTAAACAACTGAAAAACACAAATTTTATATAAAAATACCCTTTAAAAGCCAATATTCCAATTTTCTCATAAGCTAACTTTATAACTAACTACTCCCTAAGGTGTTTGACTATAGCAACTCAGTCATAAAAAACATTAATTGAAGCACTCTGCTTTATATTGCTACTGATAGCTACTATGTTAAGGACATGTTTAAATATATCCAAGGTTGGAAAGAGCTTTATAACAAATAGGTAGGCCAACAATGACAACCAAAGAGTCCAAAACACCGGATTTACTTTTAAAAAATTTTGTGTACATTTTTCAATTAATATTTTTATAAATAATGTCTTATTAAAACTAACTTATAGAATTGATAAGCTTAAATAAATATTTATACTGTACTTGTCTTTTTCAATAGTTTCTTGATAAATAATAAATTGCTCCTGCATGTAGTCTTCATGTTTATGAAATACATCACATGTTGGCTTCCAGCTATGGAAAAAAAATACTGTAATTAGCATCTCAGAATAATAAATTGAAGAAATAATAAAAATGAATGTAACCACTTAAACAATCTTTCCTTTCTTGGAGAAAATAAGCTTACATCAAGAAAAACATTCCCATCTCCCATCATCACCACTATGACCATACATGCAATTGTATACATGTTTGAATATCAACATCCACTAATTTTTACATAAAGTTTGTTTGGGAAACATGACTAGGGAAGGAACAAATGTGACATGCCTGGACTGTGTATTGCTATGACATCTCTGTAATATACTCTGCAACACTCTATAGTGTTGAGCGTTGGCATCAGGCTATCTTTCTCATCATACTTATAAGATCTTAGTTAAGAAATTCTACTGGAGTAAATATTTATAGAGTTGTTGCTGTTCAGTCGCTAAGTCATAACCAACTCTTTGCGACCCCATGAACTGCAGCATTCCAGGCTCCCCTTATTTTATTATCTCCCAGAGTTTGCTCAAATTCATGCCCACTGAGTCAGTGATGCTATCTAACCATCTCATCCTATGCCACTCCCTTCTCCTTTTGCCTTCAATCTTTCCCAGCATCAGGGTCTTTTCCAATGAGTTGGCTCTTCGCATCAGGTGGTCAAAGTATTGGAGCTTCAGCTCCAGCATCAGTCCCTCTGATGAATATTAAGGGTCAATTTCCTTTGGGATTGATGGGTTTGATCTCCTTGCAATCCATGCAGCTTTCAAGAGTCTTCTCCAGCACAATTCGAAAGCATCAATTCTTTGGTGCTCAGTCTTCTTTATAGACCAACTCTCACATCCGTACATGACTACTGAAAATCGGACTCTGCAGATTTTTATAGACAAAGTGATGTCTCCATTTTTTAATATACTGTTTATGTTTGTCATAGCTTTCAATGAGCAAGTGTCTTTTAATTTCATGGCAGCACCTGTCACTGTCTGCAGTGACTTTGGAGCCCAAGAAAAGAAAATCTGTCACTACTTCCACTTTTACCCCTTGTATTTGCCATGAAGAGATGGGATCAGGTACCATGATCTTAGTTTTTTGAATGCTGAGTTTTAAGCCAGCTTTTTCACTCTCCTCTTTCACCCTCAAGAGACTTTTTAGTTCCTCTTCACTTTCTGCCATTAGAGGGGTATCATCTGCATATCTGAGGTTGTTGCTATTTCTCCTGGAAATCTTGATTCCAGCATGTGATTCATCCAACCCAACATTTTGCATGATGTACTCTGCATATAAGTTAAATAAGCAGGGCTAGCATAAGGGATAAACGGAGGCTTTTTTCTCCTTTGAAATTTAGAAACTTATACCCTTCTGAATTTGAAAGAAACTAGACCAAATTGAATTATAAAATCAGGCAGTAAGGATAAAATGAATATTCTGCTTACACATTTGTTTTTATTACATGACTGGAAGGATGTTGCCAATGCAAAAAATCTAAAATTAAGCATATGCCACTGCAGCTTACATTCTAAGTATTGTTCAAATATTTCCTCCAGATCTTTTCTAATCTTTTTTACTTTTCAGATTCAAAAAGTACTCATACCCACCTTGGAAGCACAAATGTATACATAAGAAAATAATTATCATCCATATTCTCAACACTGAATAATAACCACTAATATTTCAATAATTTACTTCCAGATTTTACTAGAAACAGGGCTTCCCAGGTGGCACTAGTGGTAAAGAACCCATATGCCTATGCAGGAGACATAAGAGATGTGGGTTTGATCCCTGGGTTGGAAAGATACCGTGGAGAAGGGCATGGCACCCCCCTCTAGTATTCTTGCCTAGAGAATCCCCATGGACAGAGGAGTCTGGTGAACTACAGTCCATAGGGTCACCTAGAGTCAGACATGAGTGAAGTGATTAGCATTCACAAGCAGACACATATAGTTTAACATATTTGAGATCATATTCACATATACAACATATTCACCTTTATCACTTACTTTTAAACTATATACATTTTCTTTGTCACTAAGAATTCACTGTAAAGGTTTTAATAAATACAACATATTACTCATTCCAATATTGTTATCCATTTTAGTTAGTCTAAGTTTCTCTTAAGAACTTGTACTTAAATGTTTGCCTGAGTTTTCAATCATTTCCTTAGACAATATTTTCCAAAATGGAATTATAAGATCAAAGGTTATATATACATACATTCTGAATATTTTTAAAATTCCGTAAGAACTGTATGTTCACTGAAAAGATACTCACTATAAGCATTTTGATGTACATATGTCTAGACTTGTCCTAATTACACATACATAAATAACACAATTACTACACTGAGTTCATTCTATGAATGCTGTTTCAATGTTTTGTTCAATTTGTATTATACTGTTAACACATTTCGTGTCAATAAATATTGACATATAGCATAAATTAATAGACTGTTTACTGTTCATTCATATGGATGTACCAAAATTCATTTAAACTATTACCTAATAGTGAACACTGAGTTGCTTCCAATGTTTTCCTATCATAAAAAGGTTGATATAAATATGTTGTTGTACATTATATCTTTGAGAAAATACCTATTTCCTTACAAAAAATTATCAGAAATGGTACCATTTAATCAAAAGTCATGCTTATTTTTAAAGTCTTTAAAGTATGCAGATATGTCATCCAAAAGGTATACACCAGTGTATATTCCTACATTGTATTTTTTTTCTACATTTTATACATTCCAACAGTGTATAGGGCCTACATATGGCCCTACCATAGTGTGGCCTCGGGCCAAACTACAGGGAGGGAACACAGCCCCATCCATCAGCAGAAAATTGGATTAAAAATCTACTGAGCATGGCCTTGCCCATCAGAGCAAGACCTGTTTGCCCCAGAGCCAGTAACTCTAATCAGGGAGCTTCCACAAGCCTTTTATCCTTATCCACCAGAGGGCAGATAGAATGAAAACCACAATCACAGAAAACTAATCAAACTGATCACATGGATCACAGCCTTGTCTAACTCAATGAAACTATGAGCCATGCCATGTAGGGCCACCCAAGACAGACTGGTCATGGTGGAGAGTTCAGTCCACTGGAGAAGGAAATGGCAAACCACTTCAGCATTCTTACCTTGACAACCCCATGACAGTAGGAAAAGGCAAAATGTTATGACACTGAAAGATGAACTTCCCAGGTGGGTAGGTGCCCAATATGCTACTGGAGAAGAGGGAAGAAATAGCTCCAAAAGGAATGAAGAGACTGAGCCAAAGTGGAAACAATGCCCAGTTGTGGATGTGTCTGGTGGTAAAGATAAAAGTCTGAAGCTATAAAGAACAGTGTTGCATAGGAACCTGGAATGTTAGGACCATGAATCAAGTTAAATTGGAAGTGGTCAAGCAAGAGATGGCAAGAATGAACATCAACATTTTAGGAATCAGTGAACTAAAATGCACTGGAATGAGTGAATTTAATTCAGATGACCATTACATCTACTACTATGAGCAAGAATCCCTTAGGAAAAATGGAGTAGCCCTCATAGTTAACAAGAGAGTCTGAAATGCAGTACTTGGGTGCACTCTCAAAAATGACAGAATGATCTCCATTCGTTTTCAAGGCAAACCATTCAATAGCACAGTAATCCAAGTCTATGCCCCAATCACTAATGCTGAAGAAGCTAAAGTTGAACAGTTCTATGATGACCTACAAGAACTTCTAGAACTAACACCAAAAAAAGATGTCCTTTTCATCATAGGGGACTGGAATGAAAAAGCAGGAACTCAAGAAGTAACAGGCAAGTTTGGCCTTAGTGTACAAAATGAAGCATAGCAAAGGCTAACAGAGTTTTGCCAAGAGAATGCACCGGTCATAGCAAACACCCTCTTCCAACAACACAAGAGACGACTACACATGGACATCACCAGATGATCGATACTGAAATCAGATTGATTATATTCTTTGCAGCCAAAGATGGAGAAGCTCTATACAGTCAGCAAAAACAAGACCAGGAGTTGACTATGGCTCAGATTATGAACTCCTTAGTGCCAAATTGAGACTTAAATTTAAGAAAGTGGGGAAAACCACTAGGCACAATTCAGGTATGACCTAAATCAAATCCCTTACAATTATACAGTGGAAGTGAAAAATAGATTCAAGGGATTAGATTTGATAGACAGAGTGCCTGAAAAACTATAGATGGAGGTTCATAACATTGTACAGGGGGCAGTGATCAAGACCATCCCCAAGAAAAAGAAATGCAAAAAGGCAAAATGGTTGTCTGAGGAGGCCCTAAAAATAGCTGAGAAAAGAAGAGAAGAGAAAGGCAAAGGAGAAAGGAAAAGATATATCCATCTAAATTCAGAGTTCCAAAGAAGAGCAAGGAGAGATAAGAAAGCTTTCCTAAGAGATCAATGCAAAGAAATAGAGGAAAACAATAGAATGGGAAAGACTAGAAATATATTCAAAAAAACTAGAGATATCAAGGGAATACTTCATGCAAAGATGGGCACAATAAAGGACAAAAATGGTATGGATCTAACAGAAGCAGAAGATATTAAGAAGTGGCAAGAATACACAGAAGAATTATACAAAAAAGATCTTAATGACCCAGATAACCACAATGGTGTGATCACTAACCTAGAGCCAGACATCCTGGAATGTGAAGTCAAGTAGACCTTAGGAAGCATCCCTACAAACAAAGCTAGTGGAGGTGTTGGAAATTCCAGTTGAATTCCTCAAGGATGATTCTTAAAGATGATGCTGTGATTAATGCTACACTCAATATGCCAGAAAATTTGGAAAACTCAGCAGTGGCCACAGGACTGGAAAATGTCAGTTTTCATTCCAAAGCCAAAGAAAGGCAATGACAAAGAATGCTCAAACTACTGCACAATTACACTCATCTCACACACTAGCAAAATAATGCTCAAAATTCTCCAAGCGAGGCTTCAACAGTACATGAACTGGGAACTTCCTGATGTTCAAGCTGGATTTAGAAAAGGCAGAGGAACCAGAGGTCAAATTGCCAACATCTGTTGGATTATCGAAAAAGCAAGAGTGCTCCAGAAAAACATCTACTTCTGCTTCATTGACTATGCTAAAAGCCTTTGACTGTCTGAAAAATTCTTAAAGAGATGGGAATACCAGATCACCTTACCTGCCTCCTGCAAAACCTGTATGCAAGTCAAGAGGCAACAGTTAGAACTGCACATGGAACAATGAACTGGTTTAAAATTGGGAATGCAGTACATCAAGGCTGCATATTATCACCATGTTTATTTAACCTATATGCAGAGTACCTCACTGGGAATGACGAGCTGGATGAAACACAAGTTGGAATTAAGATTGCAGGAAGAAATATCAATAACCTCAGATATGCAGATGACACCAACCTTATGGCAGAAAGCAAAGAGGAACTAAAGAGCCTCTTGATGAAAGTGAAAGAGAGGGTGAAAAAGTTGACTTAAAACTCAACATCCAAAAAATGAAGATCATGGCATCTGGTCCTATTACTTCATGGCAAATAGATAGGGAAACAATGAAAACAGTGACAGACTTTATTTTCTTGGGCTCCAAAATCACTGCAGATGATGACTGCAGCCATGAAATTAAAAGACACTTGCTCCTTGGAAGAAAAACTATGACCAACCTAGACAGCATATTAAAAAGCAGAGACATTACTTTGCCAACAAAGGTCTGTCTAGTCAAGGCTATGGTTTTTCCAGTAGTCATGTATGGATGTGAGAGCTGGACCATAAAGAAGGCTGAGCATTGAAGAACTGATGCCTCAACTGTGGTGTTGGAGAAGACTCTTGAAAGTCCCTTGGACAGAAAGGAGATCAACCAGTCGATCCTAAAGCAAATCAATCCAGAGTATTCACTGGAAGAACTGAAGCTGAAGCTCCAATACTTTGGCCACCTGATGTGAAGAGCTGACTCTTGGGATGCTGGGAAAGACTGAAGACAGGAGGTGAAAGGGATAACAAAGGACAAGATGGTTGACGGCATCACTAACTCAATGGACATAAGTTTGAGCAAGCTCCAGGAGATGGTGAAGGACAGGAAAGCCTGGCGCGCTGCAGTCCATGGGGTTGCAAAGAGTCGGACATGACTGAGTGACTGAACAACAACATATTCCTACATTGTGTAAGCAAGGTGATTTTCTTATTTCCTGGCCAATACCGGGTATTAACCTTCTTTAAATTTCTGTAAAACTTAAAGGCAAAATAATGTATAATATATAATATTATTGTTTCAATTTGGATGTCTTTGATTATTAGTAATATTGAGCATTTGTTCACATGTTCATTAGACATACATTTCTCCATTTTGGTATTTACTTATTTACCATCTTTACCGATTTTTTCTAATGGGGCTTTGGCTCTTTATTACTAATTTCTACAAGCACTTTATATTTTTAAAATTAACCCTTCTTTGACATTTTTCTACTTTATCTTTTTGCTTTTTGTATCAATTTGAGGTGTTTTTCTTTTTAACTTCTATGTATCATATTTAACCATTGTTTCCAATGTGACTTCTACCTTTGATGACACAGAAAGATCTTCTTCTCTCAAAGATTGTAGCCACCTATATTTTCTTCTAATACTTTCATGAGTTCATATTTCACATTTAAATTGCTTAGCCATAAGCTGAAATCATGAACTAGAGGTATTTGTGCATTAAAATCAACTGTTCTCAGAACCCAGCAGAGAATAATCTTGTATGAAGTACATCTTGAACACAGTAGGTTCTAAGGAGAAACTGCCAATAATTTTCTAGAACCCATTGCAGCTAATTGAGGGAAACCACTGGTAAAACCTACTGCAGTATACCTAAAAGAAAAAGTTGAACAGTACATAGTGTTTTGTTAATGATACTGCCAAAAAAAAATTTAAACATTGATAATTTCAGTGTTAGCAAGGTTGTGAGGAATAGAAACTCTCATATATTGTTGGTGAAAGTATAAGTTAGTATAATTTTTTTGGAGAGAAGTTTAGCATTACTTATCAAATATTTAAACATGCATACTCTCTGATCTAGCAATGCCATTTCCAGGAGTTCATTCTATAGCAGCAGTTCTAGAAATGTGGAAGGAGACCTGTATATAGTGCTTATAATAGGAAATAACTGTAAATAGCCAAAATGTGTATTAATAGGAGAATGGTTAAGTAACTTAGGATGCATCAATACTATAAAATACTATGGAGCTTTTAAAAGGAAAAGAATAAAATCTATACACAATCATCACATGTATTGTACCATTTACATTACATATTGTTAAATTTTAAAAACAAGTTGAAAAATAAATATGGTATGATTGCATTTTTGAGACAAGGGAAGTCAGAAATACAGGTAGATATATAAATAAGCATATGTAGTAATGGTGTTGAATGTATATTTTAAAAGGTCTGAAAGGGTACTCACTGTTAAGAGTGATTACCTATAAGAAAGAAGACAGGGTGGGGGTGGGGACTGCAGACACGGAGAGACTTTTTACTCCATATATTTGTGTACTCTGATTTTTATACTAGGCATGTGTCACTTTTGTTTAAAACAACTATAAAAAAAGTAATAAGGGAAACCAAAAAGCTTATGAAATTTTTAAATAACAAAACATTTTAAAACAGGTATGATTCTTCAGTTCAGTTCAGTTCAGTCGCTCAGTCATGTCTGATTCTGCGACCCCATGAAATGATTCTTGTATAATACTTAATACAAAGACAGTGGCCCACATAAAGTTAAATATTACAGGAAGCTAACACTTTATTTTTGTAAGTACCTGATCAGATAATTAGGTTCCATTAACAAGTCTTTGTTAAAAAAAAAATCTTCGCTTCAAAATGTTTGTCTTAAATAATATTAATAGATATAAGTATTAGAATAGGATGTGAGACTATACTGAAAGAATTAACATACTAAATAGTTTTACTTTGAAAAGCTGCTAATTTTAGGCTAGTTCCCTTAGACAAAAAGATCTTGAAAATTCAAAGATGAAAATTATTTTAGATCTATTTATCTAATAGGAATTTTCTATGCTGAGCCTAGATTATTAAAAATACTGTATTTAGACTAACTGGATTTGAATTAGAGAGATCTTAGGGCTTCCCTGATAGCTCAGTTGGTAAAGAATCTGCCTGCAATGCAGGAGACCCCAGTTCAGTTCCTGGGTGAGAAAGATCCCCTGGAAAAGGGATAGGCTACCCACTCCAGTATTCTTGGGCTTCCTTTGTGGCTCAGCTAGTAAAGAATCTGCCTGCAATGCAGAAGCCCTGGGTTCAATCTCTGGGCTGGGAAGATCCCCTGGAGAAGGGAATGGCTACCCACTCCAGTTTTCTGGCCTGGAGAATTCCATGGACTGTATAGTCCATGAAGTCACAAAGAGTCAGACACGATTGAGCGACTTTCACTTCACTTACAACATTTACTTCTTTCTTTTGAACCTTCTGTTATCTGTTTTACAATGTCTTGTAACAAGGAAATTGAAGACTTGATTCATCATTTTTCTAATACAAAATACTACTTTCCAGCAACAGTGTCTTTAACTATAAACTCAATATCCCTTAATAAGAGAATCTAATGACAATTACTGAAAGTTTCTTTAAAATACTCACCTACTACAGTTGTCTTTGATCTCTTTCCTATGTTTACAGTAATGACCAATTTCCTCATCTGTCGTATTTATAGTTTCATGTATCTTACAAACAGTAGCTTTGCATTGTTTAATATCTTCAAAGCATTCTAGAAAACAGAAATATATATTTTTTTAAGGAGAAATCATAAATTCAAAGTAAACAAATACAGTAGGGGAAAGGTATGGCAATTGACCTAAAAAAAGAGAACCAAAGAAAGGACAGGAAGTGAAGCTTGAGATGGGAAGGGCCCTAAAGAGTACAGGACCAGTCAGGCTTGGTCCTAGACCCAGAAGCTAAGAAGTCCTGTTTGAGATTGAAGAGAAATGTCCCCTGTTCCATCTCTAATGTAAGAGGGCTAGATTAAGAAATGTCTAAGATCAATGGTATCTTATGATGCTATGAGTTCATGTAAACATTTATTCACATGATACTAATGTAAGAGTTTTGTTTCTGACAAATGTGAAATTTCTACTAATCAATCCCAAGTCATTATTTACTATACCTTCAATTCACTTATTTCTTTGTCACTAGTGAGTAAACACAAGATAAAAATAAAATGTAATTTCTTTAAAAAATTAAAACAAATTCTTAATACCCTATTCTCTTTTGTTGCAGAAAAGATAAACAAATTTACTAAACCTTTCAGAACTATTAAGAAATTAATGATAGTAGCTTCTTTTGATAGTTTTTATGTAGGATCTTAGAACACTATATTTATGTAATGTGCTTTGTCATTCTACTCATAATATTAATTTTGATAATTAGCATTCCTGAAAATGTGGCATCCATTAATTCTGGCCACTGACTTTTGATGATTTCTAAAAATATTTAAATTTTTTTACTCAAATGTTTGAAATAACCTGTATTGAGGAAAAAATATTTTCAATTTTATGTAATTATGAGTGATTTCTACTTAAAATTCCTAAACGCAAAATAAGTAAATGCTGAATACAGAATACAGACATGTATTACTGAAAAACTAGCTAGGGTAAATAGCTTATTATTAGTCACTAGATAGAAGGGGGGAGCTCTAATGCCAACTATAAATTACCCTAAACAAAGCAACTGCATAATATCTTATATTCTATAAAACATTAAAAATTAAAACATCTTTGTCATGCAAAACTACTTACTATTAATTCGCTGAACTATATCTTCTTTAGTACTTATATCTTGTTCATACTGGAAAACTAAAATAAATAACTCTTTTGTAACTTCATTTCATTGTTAAAATGTCAAATGATAATACAAATAGTTACCTACTTCTTTATTTTCATTTTATACCTACCAAATTCTAGCAAAAGTCTGTCCAGACTGACAAACAGGCTGTCATTCATCTTGGACACTTTGCTAAAAATAATAATAATAATAATAAGGAAGGATTTTCTAAAAACCTTTTGACACAGTATTATTACAGAAAAATGTGGATGGAGGGGGAGACACCTTCATCCCGGTACTGGGCAGGTATTTAAAAAATGAATGTCGTTATATATATTAAAATAAATATATACAATTATACATAGTAAACTGAATGTCGTTGCATTACTAAAACTTCACAATTGTTTATTCATGGTAGTGCCATATGTCACTGAATATTCTGGAGTCCGCAGACACCTAGATTTCTCAAAAGGACATGCTCTTTACAATAAACAGTATCTCTGAATGTCCTTTCTCGGCGTGAGTACTACGTGTAGCAAAATTCTGAAATTCCTTCCCCAACAGCTAGGTAAAACCTACAGAAACCGTGCGATTTGACACTTGGGAATTTACCACCAAGAATCTAAAAGTGGAGGTATTTACTGGCCTACCAAGTGGCGTTTAAAAAAAAAAAAAAATACGCCTGAGGCGGGGTTTGGACCACTCTTCACCACAGTCGAAGAGCTACTCTTCCCGCGCGTTCTGAAGCGGGGGGTTTGCTCGCCGACTCCCTTCAGAGCCTACTCGCGTCTCTTCATCCGAGACCGTCCCCGACACTCCAGCCTCGCGGCGACCCCCGAAGCCTCGGGCTGCAGTGCTGCCGAAAGCGAGGCTACGGGCCGGGAAAGCCCCCAGAACGCAACTTCCAGGCGTACTCCGGGGACAGGGCCCTCCAGCCCCGCAAACCCTTCATGGCCGCCTGCCCTCGGAATAACCGCCACACACAGTTCTTCCCCATCCACCTCACAGTAACCCCCTCTAGAACACGAACGCCCACCCTTCCTTCCCGGATCCCACACTCTACTCGGGGTGGCGAGAGCCGAGGACGCGACAGCAGATCGCCACACAGACCGGCCCGAGCCCCGCCTCTACCTCGCTCGGCCCCACCCAACCGCGCGAAGCCCACCGCAGGAGCTCCAGATCGCGCTGAAAAGTGAGGTCCGACTCCCCGCGAGACCCGCCCGGAGGCGCTCACGCCTCCCTCCCCCGCGAAGCGAGAATCAAGCATCCCGCCGCCCGAGAAGACCTGCTGGGATCCGAAGCCCTAGACCCAGGCTTGGGAACCTCTCGGGAGCTATTGTTGTCTTTCTCTAAGACTAGCCATTCCTCTTGTGAAATAACAGTTTAAAATGCATTTCGGAGAACAGCAATAAAATTGACATTAACCTTAACATGACAACAAAAACCACTCGAATCAATCGTCAAAATTCAATTTCGCATTCAGCATTCAAAACTCGCTGAAAAGCAAGTCTAAGAATTCAAATACATTTTCATTTAGCAAACATTTTGAGAGTGGTGTTTACTTAGTTTCAAATAAAATGCACATTAATATTTTCTTTCCAAAATGCTGTCTTTGTAATTTATACTCTTAGACCTTGCATATCCAAGGTGAAATAAAGAATTCCCTTTATTTATAACTTATAACTTATTTATGGTTTATAACTTGTTCACATGATTTAGACAAACAGTCCCCCAAACTGCCTTCATTATTTGTATTGTTGTTGTTGTTGTTTAGACACTAATTACTCCTTTGCGATCCCACAGACTGTAACCTGCCAGGCTCCTTTGCCCATGGGATTATTCCCGGTGAAAATGATGTGAATAATTGCCTCAATTCCCTATACCTAAATTGTTTCACAGATTATTACAATGAAAAAGATACTTTCAGAGATTTTTCTTAAGTACTTCAGATCATATATGCAATAACCAGTTTTATTATAATGTGATATAATGCTGCTTATTAGTATCAATGGTAGTGAGTCATCAAGGCTAATTTAATGTAAATTTGATGACATAAGAGATTTAGAAGCTTTATTCTTATACTTGTTTATATTTATTAGTTATCCCTTTTTAGGAAGGTATGAGACTATGGACATGAAGGCTAAATTATCATTAGTCTTGCTGGCACTGCATTGCTATGACTGATAAGAAAACTTGACAGATTAAAAAAAGCTGATCCACTTCAACTTAATAGTAGATTTTCTTATGTAAACTTGTGGAGACCTAGAAAAACCACCTTATTGAGATCTGGAAATCAATTTATTTACACTCACATCTATGTACATCCTAATAAAATATACTCTCATAAAAATACACCTGAATTCTACCAACTCCACTACCCCTTATTGCATTCCAGAAATTCTTTCTGGAAAAGCATTAAAGATGAAGATGTTTCATCTACTGGAGAGTTTTAAATAATAAATTTTATTCTCCCCCCTAAATCTCAATGAAATATAATGTTCTGTTTGAAAAATATTATAGAGTGTTGACTCATGTAAACATTTTCCCTGACAAATCATTAAAATTGTCCCTACCTACTATAAGCACCTTCCCCTCTTGCTCCACATATATAAGCACCTTCCCCTCTTGCTCCACATATGCAAATCAGAATCTAAAGAAATTCTTAATTTAAAACTGCTGCCTATTAAAATTACACTGTACTACTCTTACTTTGACTGCTAAATTTATCAATTAAAAACATGTCTCTTGCCTACAGTTCCTTTCCACTCCTTTCCTCATTGATTTTCAACCCAACCACTATACCCTAACATATTTAACTGCTTTTTCAGATAATAAAAAAATTTTTAGTCCAAATATAATGGTATGTTCTCAGTCTTACCCTTCCCTTCTTTTTTCCTCTTTCCTGTACTTAGTCCCATTAAAATTATCTGTAACCCTAACCCTGACTTCTAAGACACTACTTTCTTAAAAGAACTACTTTTGCATTTCTCTTAGCTGCCCCTCTGATTTTGGCTTCTACTTCTTTCCCTCTCGCCATCACTTCCCAGCTACAGACTCTTATCTGAGCTTTTTCTTTAACTCTACCCCTCTTCTATACGTTTGTTGGATTATTCATTCAAAATGTGCTTAAAACACCCAAATCTGTATTTTCAGCTGTATCCTATTATCTGTGCATGTGTGCATGCCTGCGAAGTCAATTTAGTCATGTCTGACTCTTTGCAACCCCATGGACTGTAGCCTACCAGGCTCCTCTGTCCATGGGGTTCTCCAGGCAAGAATCCTAGAGTGGGTTACCATGCCCTTCTCCAGAGGATCTTCCCAACCCAGGGATCCAACCTGCATCTCTTACATCTCTTGCATTGGCAGAAGGGTTCTTTATCACTAGCCCACTTCTTGTATACATCCAATCAACTCTGTAAATAGTCTTTGTAGTTAGACAGATAGGAATTCAACTTCTGGTTCTGTCATTTGTGAAGTCAAACCTTTGGGCAAGTTTCTAACCAAAGCTTCAGCTTCCTCAAATGTAAAGTAAGAATTAATAATTCTACATCTTGGCTTCTAGAATACAGTATTTACTTGCTTTTTTCTCCTATGTCTAATAATTTCTCTATCTCTTCTTTCAGATTCATCCTCTTCTACTCAGTCACTAAATGTTATAAATTCTTGAGGCTCAATCCTAGCCCTTTTCTCTCATCCTGCTCTCTTGTGTTTAAGTACTCTCATCCATCTATAGTTTGTTGTTTAGTCACTAAATCGTGTCCAACTCTTCTGCGACCCCATGTACTATATAGCCCGCTAGGCCCCTCTGTCCATGTGACTTCCCAGGCAAGAATATTGAAGTGGGTTACCATTTCCTTCTCCAGAGGATCTTTCTGACCCAGGAACCGAACCCACACCTCCTGAATTGCAGGCAGATTCTTTACCATCAGAGCCACCAGGGAAGCCGTCTATAGCTTACCACTACATATATGACTCACAAACATGTATCTCTAGCATAGACTTCTAGTATTAATTCAAGAATTTAGTGGCAAAAAAAAAAAAAAAACACCCAGAAGTTGATTCTGGCTGATTTAAGTAAAAATCAAATTTGTTAAAAATGATATTGTGTAACACAAAATCCCCATAATAGCTAAAGAACCAAGCTCTAGCAAGGAAACAGCATAGCAAGGAACAATGCCCAAATTCACACTTCAGAATGAGTGGTCCAGAAACCACAACCACAATCAAACACCAAGGGCTGCAACTGACATCATTACTACCAGCACAAGATAGTTTAGTACCACAGCCATACTATAAATTTGGGCTTATTTCAACTACCACCATTTCCAGGAGGGGATTCATCCTAGGGCATAATTCTCTATGTCACTTTTTCCCGATCCAAAATTTTGGATGAGTACATTTGATGAGAGAAACCTAGGTTCATGCTTCACTTTTTTTCCTTTCAGACTGTTGAGGTAAGAACTTCTCCAAGCATAAGAAATGGATTTAATGCTGGGAAATCAAAAATAATAGAAACTTTCCATAACATTTAACCTCTGAGTTCCAGATCCATCAATCTAACTGCCTACATAAGTCAAAACACAACTCATGTTTCCCCCAACCAATCCTGAACCTTTAAAATTATCTCTCATTTCATGAATGGGGCCAGTATCCTGCAGCACATACCAGAAACCTAGATATTATCCTAGACAGACTTCCTCTCCTATCATTTCCCATATCTAATCCACCACAAATCCTTTTAACTGTCTTTCAAATCCATCCATTTTTCTCCATCTCAACTGCAACCATCTTAGGCTAAGTCACCATCATTCTCTCATTTAGATTACTGTAATAGCTTCCAAACTGGTTTTGCTGCATATCTACTCTAACTTTCTTGTCCATTAATCATACATCCTTCAACAGAGTAATTCTTTTTTTTTTTAACAGAATAATTCTTGATTGCAAATTTTATACTCTCTCTGACTCTGTCTCTGTCTCTTTGTCTCTTTTACACACACCTTAAAACACATCAATGGCTTCCTATTCTTCTGATAATAAAGGACAAGATTCTTCTCATGGATTACAAGGCCCTTTATGATCCTGTCCCTATCTATCTCTGCTTCTTCATATAATACCAACTTTATCTTCCTTCTGAAATCCAGCCTTCACACCCTTTTTTCAGTTCTTAACATGCTCCTTT